GAAATACCTTTGTATTTTTCACCATTTTACTTTACTCTGTATTGCCTGTTCATATACTTTGCCTAGTTTCTATTGTATTTATCTTTTTCTTATACATTCGGGATTCCAATCACTGCCTAAGAGTTCACCCATTTTTTTTTTCCCCCAGCATATATAATTTATTTTTTCTTCCACGTTTCTAGGCCAAGTTGGTTCCTAACTAAGTAATCTGTTTTTTTCCCTGTTCTGCTATCTCTATTTCTTTCTTTCTTCCTTAGAGATAAACACACAGCAAGTATGGACTCATCCAGTCATTACATAGTATAACTGATGAACATACAGAGACTTAAAAAATATGTACCTTTCCATTTAGCTGGAAGTTTTTTTTTGAGAGGGCATCTCTCATATTTATTGATCAAATGGTTGTTAACAACAATAAAATTCTGTATATGGGACTCAATGCACAGTCATTAATCAACCCTAAGCCTATTTCTCAACAGTCTCCAATCTTCTGAAGCATAACGAACAAGTTCTTAAATCGTGAACAAGTTCTTACATAGTGAATAAGTTGATCTGCTTTCTTTACTGTTGTTTTATTTCCTCTGGTGACAGCTATTTAACCTTAGGAACACTTCCTTCTGTAGTAGTCCCTACAAAATACAAAATGGTAGGATTTGTTTTCTTCTTACGGCCGAATAATATTCCATTGTGTATATGTACCACATCTTTTTTATCCATTCATCTACTGATGGACACTTAGGTTGCTTTCATTTCTAGGCTATTGTAAATAGTGCTGTGAAAAAATAACCTTAGGAACACAATCCTTCTGTAGTAGTCCCTACAAAATACATTGTAGAGATGGTTTGTGGGAGGTAAATTCTCTCAGCTTTTCCTTATCTGGAAATTGTTTACTTCTAATTTAAATGATAATCTTGCCAGGTAAAGTATACTTGGTTCGAAGCCCTCTGCTTCATTGCATTAAGTGTATCATGCCAGTCCCTTGTAGCCTGTAAGGCTTCTGTAGAGAAGTCTGACGATAGCCTGATGGGTTTTCCTTTGTATGTGATCTTTTTTTCTCTCTCTGGCTTCTTTTAATATTCTGTCCTTATCCTTGATCTTTGCCATTTTAATTATTATATGTCTTGGTGTTGTCTTCCTTGGGTCCCTTGTGTTGGGAGATCTGTGCACCTCCATGACCTGAGAGACTATCTCCTTCCCCAGATTGGGGAAGTTTTCAGCAATTACCTCCTCAAGGACACTTTCTATTCCCTTATCTCCTTCTTCTTCTTCTGGTACCCCTATAATGTGAATATTGTTCCATTTGGGTTGGTCACACAGTTCTCTTAGTGCTCTTTCATTCCTGGATATGTTTTTCTCTCTCTCTGCCTCAGCTTTTTTGTATTCTTCTTCAGTTCCATTAACCGTCTCCTCCACTATATCTAATCTGCTTTAAATCCCTCCATTCTATGTTTCTTTTCTGATATTATATTCCATAATGATTGAATCTCCATCCTGAATTCCTCCCTGATTTCTTGAATATTTTTCTGTACCTCCATGAGTATGTTTATGATTTTCATTTTGAAATCTCTTTCAGGAAGATTGAGGAGTTCAATTTCACTTGAACCTTTTTCTTGTGTTTGTGGATTTTGGTTTGAACTACGTTCATTCGGTGTTTAATATTTGTATGTTTTTTGTATGTGTCACCCTCTAGTGCCCAGAAACTCTACTCTCTGTAGCTCCTTATCCCCTGGAGCAATGTTGGGGGAGGCAGTGGAGTGGTGCTGGTGCCTTGTGGGAGTAAAGAGCTGTTTCTTGCTTCCTGGCTGCTATGTCTGTCTCCACTGTCAGAATCAGTGGGCTGAGTACACAAGTGTAAGCCTCTATGTTTTGCATTTGCAGCTGCCATAGACATGGCCTCCTTCTGGCTGGCCTCACACCAGGGCAGGTGCTGCTGGTTTGTGAGCTGTTGCGGGCTGGCTGGAGGAAGGTGCAGCAGGCTGCATATTGCAGTGGGAAGCCTTGGAGCTGTGTAGCCAGCCAGGGGGATGTAGCACCTGAAGCTCCTGAATGTTCCCATCCTGCTGGGCAGAGTTCACCTGGACAATTTTGTCCACCTGGCCTTTCTCATGAGCAGCAAACCCTGTGCAATCCTTGCCCCTTTTGCAGCCTTCTTGCTGTTAGGAAGTCTCTCAGACCTCCCGCCTTTCTTTTGTCCTAGAGCAGCCTAGTGTGGATCCCTGTTTTCCACATGCGGCTGGAATCTCAGTGTCTCCAAGCCTTCCGTCTGTGTTGCCTTTCCACATAGAGCAGCATAGAATGTTGTTTCATGCTACCATAGCAGATCTCCAGGGCTGGGTGGTCAGCAGTCCTAGGCCTCCTCTCTGTTATTCTTCCTTCTGCTGGGGAGCTGGAGTGAGCAAAGGGCTTGGGTTCCACTGGATAGTGGCTTTGGTATGTTACCCTGTTCCATGAGGTCAGTTGTCTTCTCCACGCATATGCAGTCTGGTGGAGCCTTCTTTCTTTTTGTTTTTTCAGGATTAATTGTATTATTTATGCTTTCATATTGTATATAGTTTTGGGAGGAGGCTTCTGTCTCACCTCTCAAGCTGCCATCTTTAATCTCATACTATGAAATGTGTATTTTTGTAATGATTATAGAATTTGGCAACATTGGGAATGTGCTTTGATTTATTTTCTTTGTAATTTAATTAAAGTCAGGGGCTTATTTTATAAAACACTTTAGTAATTATGTTGTAGCCTGGTTCAGAAAGAAGCTAATAATATTTATCATGTATTTATGTAACTACTGGCAATGTGCTTTTTTTTTGTTTTTGTTTTTTTGGTATCATTAATCTACAATTACATGAAGAACATTATGTTTACTAGGCTCCCCCCTTCACCAAGTCCCCCCCACAAACCCCATTACAGTCACTGTCTATCAGTATAGTAAGATGCTACAGAATCCCTACTCATCTCCTCTGTGTTGTACAGTCCTCCCCATGCCCCCCACACACATGCTAATCATAATGCCCCCTTTCTTTTTCCCCACCCTTATCCCTCCCTGCCCACCCTCCCCAGTCCCTTTCCCTTTGGTAACTGTTAGTCTATTCTTGGGTTCTGTGATTCTGCTGCTGTTTTGTTCCTTCAGTTTTTCTTTGTTTTTATACTCCACATATGAGTGAAATCATTTGGTACTTGTCTTTCCCTGCCTGGCTTACTTCACTGAGCATAATACCCTCTAGCTCCGTCCATGTTGTTGCAAATGGTAGGATTTGTTTTCTTCTTACGGCCGAATAATATTCCATTGTGTATATGTACCACATCTTTTTTATCCATTCATCTACTGATGGACACTTAGGTTGCTTTCATTTCTTGGCTATTGTAAATAGTGCTGCGATAAATATAGGGGTGCATATGTCTTTTTCAAACTGGGCTACTGAATTATTAGGCTCAATTCCAAGGAGTGGAATTCCTGGGTCAAATGGTATTTCTATTTTTAGTTTTCTGAGGAACCTCCATACTGCTTTCCACAATGGTCGAACTATTTTACATTCCCACCAGCAGTGTAGGAGGGTTCCCCTTTCTCCGCAACCTCGCCAACATTTGTTGTTGTTTGCCTTTTGGATGGTGGCGATTCTTACTGGTGTGAGGTGGTATCTCATTGTGGTTTTAATTTGCATTCCTCTGATGATTAGCGATGTGGAGCGTCTTTTCATGTGTCTGTTGGCCATCTGAATTTCTTCTTTAGAGAACTGTCTATTCTGCTCCTCTACCCATTTTTTAATTGGATTATTTGCTTTTTGTTTGTTGAGGTGCATGAGCTCTTTATATATTTTGGATGTCAGCCCTTTATTGGATCTGTCATTTATGATTATATTCTCCCATACTCTGGCAATGTGTTTTAAATTTTTCTGTGCCCAGTGAATGAAATAGCCTTTTACTCAATGTAAAAATAGTGGTATGTTTCATATTAAACAGTATCTGAAGACTGTTACAAAGCATAATTGTCATTTAATCATAGGAGCTCTTTAGGGTTCTCCTGTTTGATTTTTCTTAATAGAGATAGTGAAATTAGTATAATAGTTTATGAAAATATTCTTAGGTTTCATGGTAGTATTCTAAATACATATTGCATTTTTGTAGTTCTTTACATATTTCAAACTGAAAACAAAATTTGACCTTCACAAAAATGAACATGTACTCTGGTTTTAGAACCCTGAAAAATGGGCAGATTATGTTACAATTTTCAGTGAACAGCAGAGATTAAATGATGTGCTTCATATTACAGAGGTGGAATAGGTGTTCTGACTTTGAATCTAGGGGGCTTTTATTACAAGAGTCATATAAGAGGAGCCAGTCATATCTGGTGATGGCTTTTACCCTTAAAGAATCAGTCTTAAACAGAAGCCACTGTCACAAAATATTTGTATATTACTTAAAAAAATTTGTTAATGTTCATGCCTGGGAATCTATATTTACGTTTTTATCTTTCTTCTTCCCTTTTTCTGGTTATCTTTTCTCCCTCTTCTGATTACATGGCTTGGGGAGCCTATAGGTAGGTGAATATTTGTTTATGTAGTAAAATAGTTGACTGTTGTTAAACTAGTTATAGATGCTTCATTTTTATTTGCTTGTTATTGTTTTTTTCAAAATGGCATACATGTGTACACATACTGTATTTCTAATAGAGAGTGAACTAATTTATATTCTAAATATTTTCCTTAAAAACAGCACAGTTGAAGATATTAAATAGCCTCTCTCTGTCTCTCTTTTTTCCCCTACTGCCCCCACCCTGGCTCTCAACTTCCCCAATAAGCCTCTTTTGAAGTCAGACTACTTACCACTGTGCTTTAATATTCTCCTAAAGTGTCACTAATCATCTGGTGCTGCCTTGTGAAGAAGGCACGGAGTATCTGGAATAAAAGAGTTTCTTTAGGATTTGAGCTGAAAATGCAATTCCTTTAAAATTCCAGAGATTTTCTTATAAATACCCTTTTTATTTTGTTTCCCTTATATTGTAGGGTAGATGATGTGCCTCCAGGAATATCTCTGCTTCCTGATAATATTCTGCAGGTTCTGAGGATCCAGCTACTACAGTGTGTTCAGAAAATGGCAGATGGGTTAGAGGAACAACAACAAGCTTTGTCAGTTTTGCTTGTCAAGTTCTTCATTATTCTTTGCAGGTATCTGCTACAAACAGTTACCAAAATAATAATGCATTTATTGATCATTAATGGTGCTTGTTGTTCATATGGAGCTTTAAAGAGTGAGTGTACCTTTTGCAATAAACTTGTGGTTTCTTACTCTTTTGGAAAGCCTTTTATTTCCTATACCCAGAAATAGAGAAATTTAGCCAAGATAAGAAAAAAAATTGCTTTATAGTAAAAACAATGACAGGAGTTTTTACCTAACCGAGAATTTATTGCACTCGTATTTTCTATTTGGTCCTTACCTGTAAGCATATATACATTTTTACTACCCTGCATTATCATTTGTGAAATGTATTTTTCTAATATATCATCGTACAGGTTTACCTAAGAAAGTATTATTCCACAGCTCATATTTTCCAGGTTTATAGATGAGATTAGACCTGTGGTATTAAATTATGGTGTCCATAAGTATCAACTGGGAAGCTTAATAGAAATACAGAGCTTAACCTAACTTACGGAAATCCTGATTCCACAGAACTCAGGCATTCTGATTTTTCACAATTTCCACATTAATCTGCATGTAAGAATTTAAGAATCATTAGTGTAAGGGCATCATATGCCCCTTAAAATCTATCCTCTTTTTGGAAGCCATTTCCTATAATATATACTATTTGTTTTATAAATGTTTTATAATTAGTAGACGAAGAGGGACTTAACTTTTTATTTACCTTTCATTTAATTGCTTATCAGTTTGATTGTAGGAATCATATAAAGATTGAACAATAATTGCTGAAATGTTTCTCCCCTAATTTAGCCATTCTCAGAATCCTACGCATATTTTGAATTTTTTGCTCTTTCTCATCCTTAAAACTTAGAAAAATGATACACAAATTATAAGGGTTAGGGAAAAGAGTTAATACTCAGGTGGTAATATATTAGTTTACTCCTTTGATAGTTAATTTGCTACATTTTCTCAAGTTAATTACCTAGTGCAATTGTACTGAAGTAAAAAAATCATACAGGTAACTATTTAATCCAGCATGTTTAGTTATTGATAATAAAAAGAAACACTGGAATATGTTTTAGTTGAATTTTTTTTTTAGTAGGCGATAACCTCTAATGATAAGTTTAATTTCAGTAGCTGCCAGTCACAGAACATGTTTCTGTTTCAAAGAACTTTACTTTTTTAAGTCCCTTTTAAAAGTTGTTATTAGATTTTATGTTCTATTAGTGGTTCAATTTTACATAAAAATTTTGAAAAAAAAGTACAGAGAGTTCCCACATGCTCCTTTTCCTCCCTCTACAGTTACTCCTGTTGTTAACATCTTATATTAGGTGGTACATTTGTTACAGTGATGAACAAGTATTGATATAAACTAAAGTCCATAGTATACATTAGAGTTCACCATTTGTGTTGCACAGTTCTATGGGTTTTGACAAATGCATACTGTCATGTATCCATCATTATAGTATCCCACAGAATAGTTACACCATCCTAAAGATGACCTGTCTTAAATCTATTTCATTTCTTCCTCCTCATGCCCTACCCTCTGGCAAGCAGATTTTTTAAATTGTATCCATAGTTTTGCATATTTTTGAAATTGTAAAGTATGTGCCATTTCCAGTCTTTGCTTCTTTCACTTAGCAATAAACATGTCAGGTTCCTCCACATCTTTTGTGGCTTGATAGTACACTTTTTATTGTTGAATAACAATATTCAGTTTTCGGACATACCATAGTTTATTCACCTAATGAAGGGCATCTTGGTTACTTCTACTTTTCGGCAATTGTCAGAATGGTTGCTATAAACATTTGTGTGCAGATTTTTATGCGAACATGTTTTCAACTCATTTGGGTAAATACCTAGGAGTGTAGTTGCTGTATCATATGTTAAGCCTATGTAAACTATGTCAGAAACTGCCTAATTGTATTCCAAAATGGCTGTAACATTTTGAATTCCCACTAGTAGTGAATGAGAGTTCCTGTTGCTCTGCATCCTCACCAGTATTTGGTGATGTCAGTATTTTAGATTTTAGTCATTTTAATAGATGTGTAGTACAATCTTACCATTGTTTTAATTTGTAGCTCCCTGGTGACATAGAATGGTCGGTATCTTTTCACGTGGTTATTTGCCATCTATATCTTCTTTGGGACATATCTATTTAGATCTTTTGCCCACTTAAAAATTTTTTTTCTTACTGTTGAGTTTAAAGAGATTTTTGAATATTTTGAGGTACAATTCCTTTATTAGGTACATATTTTGCAAATATTTTCCCCTAGCCTGTGGCTTGTCTTTTCATTCTCTTAATAGTGACTTCTGCAGAACAGTTTTTAATTTTAATGAAGCCCAACTTTTCAGTTTTTTTTCAAGGGTAATTCTTTTGGTTTTGTATGTAAAGTCATCACCAAATCCAGAGTCACTTCAGTTTTTGCCGATGTTATCTTCTAGAACTTAAAGTTTTCCTCCTATATCCCTCATAGTATTGCTCTCCTTCATTTTGTTTATCCATTAGCTGTAATCACCCAATATACTGTTGCTGTTATTATTTTGCACAGACTTTTATGTTAGATCTAATTAGAATAAAACAAATGAAAGATTGCTTTTCGCTCATTCCTTTTGTTAACTGTCTTCCTTTTTTCATGTAGTTTCCGGTATATCTAGGAAGAGTTACTCATTTTCAGTTTTTTCAGCTTTCTTCTTGTGAGGATGGGAATGACAGCTTTCAAGCTCTTTACATGTTGGACTGGAAGCTGGAAGGCACACTTATTTTTTATACAAATCCAAAGTTAAGGGTTTAAAAAAAAATAAGATTAAGAACTGACAGTTTTAATGTTTTGCCACTTCATGGATTTCATTTTACCACTAAAAATATGTTTCTGAAATTTTCACATAATGTACAGCACACTGTTCCCCTCTCTGCACTTGGAAAACACAGCTATGAGTATTTAAGAAGTTATATATATTCCCTTATTAAATAAATAAAAATAATTCTGCCCTTTGAAGTACTCTAATGAAACCGATAACCTCTGACTAATCAGTTTAACTCTAGGCTTATATTAAGCAATATAATTATATTTTTTGATAATTCACATAACATACAACCCCCCCCCCCATTTAAAGTGTATCTTTCAGTGTTTTTTGATAAATTTATAGAATCATACAACGATCACTGCAGTCAATTTTATAACATTTTCATACAGAGTTTAAAGAAACTCTGTACCAATTAGCAGTCACTCCACATTGACCGTACCCCCCATCTGCTGGCAACCTCCAATCTACTTTCTATTTTGGACATTTCATAGAAATGGAATCGTACATTGTATGGCTTCATTCACTTTAAATTTTCCAGGTTCATCCATGTTGTAGAATGTATCAATACTTTCTTACTTTTTATGGCGAAATAATAAACCATTGTATGGATATATCTTATTTTATTTGTCCACTCATCAGTTGATGGACATTTGGGTTATTTCTACTTTTTGGTTGTCATGAATAATGGAAAGATAAGTAATAAAAATCTGTTTACCTGAATCTTATATTTTCAAAAATCAACAGCTACATCAAGTGTTTTAGAACTTAGACTAACAAAAAATATTTTTTCAGGAAGGAATATTTTTAATTACTGATAATTGGTGATACTGAAAATGCAGACTGAATTTTTGTCAGTTTTATTATTATCTTTAAAATCACTACAGATAGTGTACCCTCTTATTGCCTGCATTTAGGGCAATTTACTCCTAGTGCCTTATCCTTAATATGGCACTATTTTTTATTAGAGTATAAAATGTATATATAAGTATATATTTTTTTATTTAAGTGTGACATGTGAATCTAAAGTATAATGTGTTATGTAAAGTGATCAGATCCTAAATGTTCAGCTCAATAAATTATAAAATGAACACACTGTGTCATTATTACCACTGAGGTGAAGAAATAGGACATTATCGGTACCTCAGAAGCCCAGATACCTTTTATGTTCTCTCATAATTGCTATTTCTCACCATCTCCAAAGAAATATTATCTTGATATTTAATACTATGGATTAATTTTGTCTAATTTTTAACTTCTTCAAACAGAATTGATCCAGTAATTTTTATTCTTTTATGTCTGGCTTTTTTTTTTTTTCTGAACTTGTCAACTATTTATGTGTTGTTATTTTGGTCCTCAAACTTGTGTTGTCTGCTGAAGGGAATTGTTACTTTTGACTGAGCATTGGACATTGTTTTTGGAAAACTGTAGAGATTATTACAGGCCTGTGATACTCTCTTCCTTCAAGATAATTTGCATTAGCTTTTGGAACACTAAGATCCCCCTAAAACAGTTAATAATTGAGGTGATTTGGACTTCACTCTGTCAGTACTGATCCATTTTCTTTTTGCCCTTACTTCCTGAGTATTTCTCCTTGGTATCTCAAATCAAAGCCTTATAAACTATCCTTTTTGAGTTATGAATTGGAGTTTTTATTCCCTTTATCACTGTAGGCTATCAAATGCACTCATCAGCATCTCATTGTTTAATTTACCTCTTTCAGGATACTTAGAAGTCATGAGGGCAAAAAAAATGGATCTAGGTACAGATTTCTGCTCTTTTAAGTTTATTTTTTCAGCATCTTATCTTTGTAAGTTTTCACTCCCTTGTTAGTTTTCTGATCCTTTTAAATAGATTTTTAAAAAAGATTTTGTCCATCTTTTTTAGCTGTTCTTAAAGGGAAGATTGGTACTAGTCCATCATTACTGAAAGCAGAACTCTTGGAGAGGGTTTTTTCCCCCTACCAGATGCTGTGGCATATGGTTTTGTTTTTTAAAAATTACATACATACTTATTTTTTGTCCTCTTGTATCTTTTTTCCACTCTTTAAAATTCCAATAAAACATATATAACAAAATTTACCATCCTAACCTTCTTTAAGTGTACAGATCAGTGGTATTAAATACCTGCACATTGTTGTGCAATTATCACCACTACCCATCCCCAGGACTTTCATCTTGTAGAACTGAAACATTCATACTCATTAAATAGTAATTCCCTATTCTCCACTTTTCCATAATGGCAGTTGCAGCATTTTACATTTCCTTTAGCAGTGCACAAGGGTTCCAGTTTCTCCACCTCTTGTTTCTTGTTTTCTTTTGATAGTAGACATCCTAACGGGTCTGAGGTTGTATCTCACTGTAGTTTTGATTTGCATTTCCATAATGATTAGTCGTGTTAAGCATCTTTTCATGTGCTTATTGTTCATTCATATATTTTTGGAGGAATATCTATTCTTTTTCCCAATTTTGAATTGGGTTGATTGATTTTTTATGTTGAATTTTAGGAGTTCCTTATATATTCTGGATATTAATCCCATGTCAGATATATGATTTGCAAATATTTTCACCATTCTTTAAGTTGCCGTTTACTTTCTTGATAGTATCTTTTCATACACAAAATTAAAAAAGATTTTTTAAAGTCCAATTTGTCTATTTTTTCTTTAGTTACCTATACTTCTGGTGTCATGTCCAAGAAACCATTATCAAATTCAGAATCATGATGCTTTTGTTTCTTCCAAGTGTTTTAAGTTTTACATTTAGTCCTTGATCAATTTTGAGTTAATTTTTATATATTGTATAAAGTAAGGGTCCACTTTTGCATGTAAATGTCCAATTTCCCAGCACCATTATTTGAAATGACTGTTCTTTTTCCATTGTATGGTTGTGGCAACCCTTGTGAAAAACCGTTTGACTATATATGTAAGGATTTATTTCTCACCTCTCTATTCTGTTCCATTGGTCTGTATGTTTACCTTTATGTCAATACTATATTTGATGACTGTCACTTTGTAATAAGAAACAAACAGTAAGTGTGAGTCCTTGAGGTATTTTTGTTTGTTTGTTTTGGTTATTTGGGGTCTTGAGATTCTGTATGAATTTTAGGATGGGTTTTTTTATTTCTGCAAAAAACACTGGGATTTTGATAGGGAATACTTTGAAACTTTACATTGGTTTGGGTAGAATTGACATTTTAACAATAATAATTCTGATCCATGAATATGACATGTATTTCTATTTATTTATGTCTTTAATTTCTTAGAGCATTGTTTTTTAGTTTTCATCATATGATTTTTTTGCTTCTTTGGTTAATTCCTAAATATTTTATTCTTTTTGATGCTGTCATGGTTTTCCTGGTTTCCTTTTTAGATTATTCATTGTTTATGTGTAGAAATGCAGTTGTTATTTGTTGTGTTGACTTTATGTCCTGCTACTTTGCTGAATTCATTTATTAGTTCCAATGCGCTTGTGTGTGTGTGTGTGTGTGTGTGTGTGTGTGTAGAATCTTTATAGAGTTTTCATGTAAGATTATATTATCGGCAAACAGATAATTTGATGTCCTGCTGTCTAATTTAGATGCTTTTCATTTCTATTTCTTTAATTTCTCTGGCTACAACTTCCAGTATTATGTTGAATAGAAGCAATGAAATCAACCATCCTTTCCTTGTTCCTGTTCTTAAAAGAAATGCATTTAGTGTTTTTCTACTGAGTATGTTTGCTGTGCATTTTTCATATGTGGCTTTTATTATGCTGAGGTAGTTTTTTCAATGACCTTTAAAGTTTCCTGGAAGTTACTTCCACCAGAGGTGGGAGGGGCTTGCAACAATTGGGGAAGGTGCAACAGGAATGGTTGCCCACCCATTTGCACCTCTGTGATTGGAAACAGCAATCAATGATCAGAACACAGATCCCTGATATTTGGAGGATAGGGTCCTTTTTTGCCTACACTTCTTCCATTAAGCTGTTACTAAACTGTTGGGAGAACTTGTGCGTAACTGCCTCCATGGTGGATGGGGGTGGGGGATGGGTCATTGGTACTGTAGTAATAATAGCTGAAATTGGCAGAAATTAACCAGCATTAACTGCAGTTTACTATTCAAGTCTTTCCCTGAAAGTTGCAAGCCTTCAACAGACTTGAGAGTGCAAAATTGTTAAAACAGATGGATTCTACCAGTACTCTTGTTTTCTAGATAGGGATGCCGCGTCCTGGTGCTTCTTACTCTGCCATCTTCCCAGAATCCTCCACAGGGTCTTTGAATTTTACCTTCATTTTCTCAAAGATGTCATATCAATCTGACTTCTTACCTTGAGAAGTCTATTGATTCATTTAATTTTTCCTATTTTTTAGCAACTAGTGAATTTAAGATGTAAAGTATTTTTCAGTATCACAATATCTCAGAACAGAAAATCAATAGTATTTTATTGGGCTCAGGAAAAAACTAGTAATGCTAGATATAGGAAATGTTAACATTATGTGTCATATCTCTGTCTTATAAAAACGAAATAAAAATGATGGCTATATTTTAATTAAATGCTGAGCAGGTATTGATCTACTGCTTTAAATAAGACATGTACTATCCCTCTTGGAATATGTATAAATGCTAGCCTTTCTATTAAGACCTTTTAATATAGTTGATATTTAAGTCTAAAAGGGAACTCTAATTTTAAAAAGCAAAGTGAAAACTAGAACTATATATGTATTATAATGGCAACAATATGTACAAAAACCAAAAATCTACATAGGAAAGTAAAAACAAACCTGCGAAATAATCCAAAATGTAAATAGTTGCTGATGTTTGGGGTGTAAGAACATTTGATTTTTTTCTCTTTTGTTAATAATTTGTGATATTTTTTTATTATTTGCTAATCAACATGTACTTCCTAAACATTTTCTGTTTATATTAATTCAATGGTGCTTAAGGTGTGTTTCACATTCTTAGTGGGAAAACAGCTATATATCCATATTGATTTTTAAGTTTCAGTAAATGTTGTTTGCATTTCATTTGCTGACATGCCTTTCCAAAATTCAACCTGAATGTATGAGCACACATTTTTCTCACTATTCATATAAAATAAATATGTTGAGTGTTCCTTTTTTCTCACAGGAATCTATCTAATGTGGAAGAAATTGGGACTTGCTCATACATTAATCATGTCATCACTATGACAACACTCTTTATTCAGCAAGTAGGTATAAATTAACGATATTCCTTTTTGTTGTTTTACTGGGAGTAACTAGGTTTTACTTTTTAAAATATTGTTAGTGAAGTTAAATATTTTCAGAGGAGGTAGTTATCAAGAAAAGAATTAAAATTATCACTCACTGTATTTCAGGCATTTTATGTGTATTATTTAAAAGTAGAGAAGCAATTATATTCTGTTATTTTAGTTAAAAATAGAGTGTTTTATAAATGGTTTTTTAAATGACATAATTTGTGATTTTTATGGATTATTTATTCATCAAATATTCCTCATATTGAAAACTTGTTCTTTTTTGGAAGGATATTTGACTATCCATTTGAAACCTTTCCTAGAAAATACTTAAAATTTGAGAGGTCGTATCCAGTCCATATGATTAACTCTCTTTAGACTCAAATGGAACTTAGACTTAATTGAATAAAAGTGATATACTATTAGATGATGAATGGTACATGTAGTTTTCTAATGATGTATATAAGAAATGTTGCACAGTTTCATATTTTTAAACTAAATACAGTTTTATGTTTAACTTTATTCTCAGTTAAAAAGCAAAAAAAAAGAGAAGGAACTGGCAGATCAGACATCTATTGAAGAATTTGTTATCCATGCACTGGCATTTTGTGAAAGCTTGTATGATCCATATCGGAATTGGAGGCATAGAATTTCAGGGTATTTCTTACAAATAATAATGCTCATTTTAAACCTGAATGCCATAATGTATGCAATTCTTTAATGCAAGTCTTTTTTTTTAATTCAAATAGGATGATTATATTTTATTGCTTTGTTTAGTATCTATTTTTCTCAACTGGGAAAAAAAGTCTAGGTGAAAAAAATGCCTAATGAGAGAAGTAGTTTACATTGCCATAACATTTAAATTGTTGCCAAAAGAAAAAAAAAGTGTAAAAAAGTTTTAAGTGTAAAATATCACATAACTTCAAAAAACTTACCTCAATTTCCTATCATCATGTACTATAAGTCAACTTTCTAATAGGATTACAGTCCTTTATTATAAGCCCCTACTGGTACTATGGTATACATTTTAAAAATGCTACTACAAAAAATTTCTTTCCTTTTTGTTTCTGCCTATTGTATACTTAAGCTATAGATAAATTTTGAATAAAAAGCCTACGGTAGGTATAAATGCAATGGTTAACTGATTCTGTTTGCTGACATCTTTTCATGTTGCACAGAAGGTGGCATCTCAGTCCAGCATCTTCTCCTGTTTCTTGCCTTCCTTTTTCTTAGATTCTTGAGTTTGGGCTTCCTCAGTTTGCCTCAGGGCTTGGAAATGGTGACTGTCTTCTGGCAGTCAGCGTTGTGGAGGGCTCGCTTCAGACTTCCAGTTCTGGTCTTCAAGGCGGTGTTGAGGTCACATTCTCCCCAGGCCTGGAACTGGTATTTGCACTCAGCACCAAATTGCTTTTTCCAGTTGCAAGGGATCTTACACCTCTGGGTCTTCATGGTTTGTTTGCACTCAGCTCCAGTCCGGGTGCCCTCCCGGGTGCCCAGCCCGCAATCCCAACTGCTGGGCACACACACGCTCCACTGCCATTCTCCACAGTCAGACTTCTTCACTTTTTTTTCTGGCTTCTCTTTCTTCCCTGCTTCAGCAGTCTCCACAGTTGCCAAAATGAAAATGAATGCCAGGACGGCAGCCGCAAACTTTTGACGCTGCTGCAGGTACTGTTGGGACTGCATTTTTGAGTTGCAAACGTGCGGCGGGCGCGCGGCTGCCTTTGTTGCCAGGGGCGAGGTTTCCGCTCAGAGGCCAGGTGGTTGGGCTCGCGCCGCGGCGGCTGCTGCCTTTCTGTGGGCCGGGGACTCGCGGGGCCCGGGCCTCCCCCCTCTCCCCTCTGAGTCTTCCCCTGCTCGGCGCCTGCCGGGGCGGGATTTTCGGACTGCGAGGCGGGGAAGCTGCTCCTGCCGGGGACTCCCTCACACCCAGCCGGGCTAATGCAAGTCTTTTTTATCTGTGAAAGCAATTAATAAGATATGTATAAGACTCCTGTCTGTATCTCTGAGATAACTGTGTTGGAGATATGAATTAGTGGTAAATTCCATTAACAGATAATACTTTTACCTTGAACTTTTATTTTTTAGTGTAATTGAATGCTAATAATCAGGAAAATGTCAAAGCATAGTATCAAGTATTTCATATTTTCAAGGAAAGTTCTTTTTAAAACATACTTCATAATTTGAAAATAATTTTTAATAGATTTGTGTCTATTTTTTAAATTTATTTTGTTATCATTAATCTACAATTACATGAAGAACATTATGTTTACTAGGCTTCCCCCTTCACCAAGTCCCCCCCCACAAATCCCATTACAGTCACTGTCCATCAGCATAGTAAGATGCTGTAGAATCACTACTTGTTTTCCTTGTGGTGTACAGCCCTCCCCATGCCTCCCCCCACCATTATACACGCGTAATGCCCCCTTTCTTCCCCTCCCCCCCTATTTTCTCCCTTCCCACCCATCCTCCCCAGTCCCTTTCCCTTTGGTAACTGTTAGTCCATTCTCGGGTTCTGTGATTCTGCTGCTGTTTTGTTCCTTTAGTTTTTCTTTGTTCTTATACTCCACTTATGAGT